CGTCGCTAGCCACGACGGAGATCAAGTGTCATTTGAACGAGGTGCTCAACGTTCTCATCAGTCACGAGTCCAGCGACTTCCAGAGCACCATGTCGGCTCTCTGTGGCGACAAGTTCCGTGACGGACGCGTGGTATTCCAACAGCGTTGCCACCTTTCCGAAGAATCACGAGAAACGCTGTCTGGCCCCCAAGACGCTGAAGCAGCGGACGGTCAGAAGGTGTTGATCAGCGTCAGCACGGCGACGTTGCAGCCGTCACTGCATATGAAGTTCCAGTCAAAGAAGCACCGGCAGCCGCAGAAGTTGTGCTTTGCGTCGTTCACGCACCAATACGCTACTAACAGTCGAGCGGTTCACGTTATGAAAACCTTGCCCAAACATGTCCACGACGAGCTTGTGCCGCGCTCGGAGCGCACAGCACTGCGTCATCAACTGGATCACTTGGCTGTGGGTTTCGACATCCAGTCAACGCCAGCGCCGGGCGGTAGCAGTAGCCAGACAACGAGTATTATTGCGCACGGGTACGCGTCCGTCACGCCGCCGGAAGCTTTCGGGGCGTACACGGTGAATCCGCGATTACGAGTTGCTGCTCCGACACCGTCTCAGGTGACGCGACGGCGATCAACAGTGATGAACCCCGAAGCGAAGCACGTACTGGACTTGTTGACCCGGTCGCTGAGAGAATTCGAGCGTGTGATCCGGAGACGGCGCTTCGGATTCCAGTCGTTCGTGTACTTCCATACATCTTCGGTGGGAGACCCTGAGCTCCGGTCGTGTTCTACCTGCCAGAAGAGGTTTTCACTGCTTCGACGCGACTTTTTCTGCCAGCTTTGCGGTCACATGGTGTGTCGGGACTGCTCGCAGTTGTACGAAGTAGAAGCGCGTGTGGGTCAAGTCCGTCGCAACCGCATCTGCGTCGAGTGTGTGGTGCGTGTGGACGCCTGTAAATTCGAGGATGCAAACCTCATTGCAGCTTTAGGACCGACGGTCGTGAGTGACGACCGCTGGTTCTCCGACAGCGAGCTGGACGACACGGACACGGCGTCGCTCGAGTCATTCCCGTCCAACTCTTCGTCGTTGCACGACCAGTTAACGTCGGATGACCCAGCTACGAGATCCCAGGCACTCGAACAGCTCGGGCGTCTGGTGAGTCCGGCGAACTCCGTATCGTCGAAGCGGAGACGCAAGCAAAAGACCAAGAACCTGGTCGAGAAGGTGCGCTGGGACGTTGAACATCACCTCGAACAGAGCTTACGTGTGGCCGAAAAGCATTCCAAACCCGAAGACTGTGACGTGGCGGACCTGGAACGGGACTACGCCTTCGAATTCGACGGCAGCAAAACGCGCGACCCGAACCACCCGTTGCCACCGACGCCTGAGCAGCACAAAGAACAGAAACGTCTGCAGTACATCCACGACTCGGGCGTGTTGGACCCGACGTACGACCGTGCGGCGCTCAATCTTTTGGCTCAAGTAGCAGCCAAGCAGCTCAACTGTCCGGTCGGATACGTGTCGATGGTGGGCGAGGACATGTTCCACGCTGTGGGAACGTTCCCTCAACGACCACCGGAGATGAACGTGGCTCCTCGTACTGAGAACATGTGCGCCCACACTGTCTACGCGGACAAACCGCTGGTCGCCAAGAATCCACAACGTGATATGCGTTTCGCTCAGATGCCTATCATTAAGGACGCGGGTGTGAAGTTCTATGCAGGGTTCCCGATCCGAGCACCCGATGGAGCTATTGTGGCGTCACTCTGTGCGTCGGACTTCAAACCACACGACAACATTACCACCAAGGAGTACGCGACGATGGAGACACTAGCTAAGCTCGCTGGGCAACTCGTAGCACCACAACTGCTTGCAGCCCCAGCATATTAACTCTGCACGATTAACGAGCAAATCTTATCGATATATTTGCACCATGAATGCCACACACGCGGTAGGCTATCCCATGCTCTTCATGCACCAAGTACCTGCTGGAGAGTATTGGGTACAAGCAGTTCTACACCCGTACTTGGAGTACAATCGCTCGGATGGCTGGAATCTCCAACTTCCCAGCTTCACGACGTTCGAGAGTGACGGTGGCGTGCTCACGGCCCCCGGCACGCTT